GATTTAGTAAAAACCTTCTTATAATAGTTTTAAATGATAATCTAAATTCGAATCAAATTGTCAAAATAGGCTGATTTATAAAATTAAAATCTTTTAAAATACTTAATTATTCATTAGCTTAATTAAACCACATAGAGTGACCAGTAATTAACATGAAGCCTTGAGAGTGGGGTAACAGTTTCCGTTAAGGAAGAATCTTCCCTCTTTTAGTACTATCTCATGTTTACTTCCCTTTGTCAATCTATTTTTAGGACAATTACTATATTTTTTTTTAATTTCTTGTTTTATTTTTATTTTTTATTTTTTAATGACGATATAATAAAAATGATAGTATGACAGAGGGGTGTGATATTTTGTCAAATGTCTATCTATAGTCGTAATGCTGATGGCACTTAATCATCATTACATATGATTAATTAATATTCTGTATGCATGCATACCTAGATTTGGATTTGCTTATGTAACACTGTTTGTTTTTCATTTTCGATTTTTCATATGTTTTATATAAAAAAAATCTTATAAATAAAAGTAATAAACATTGGGACAATCCTAAAAAATCATAATGGCATTTTTGTAATTATTTTTAGAATGTTTTATCTACTAATTTTGAGAATCATTTCAACACCAATCTCTTATTTTCCAACTATTTTCTCTAATTATTATGTAATTAATTTTTCGACTCTATATCTTTTATAGCAAATCAGATAGCAGATGGTTATGGAGTTCTAATACACTACCAAAAATCCATTTTTTTTCCTTTTATTTTTCTTATTAGTAGCATTCATCAACGTAAATTTCTCGCATGATCGGAATGGTCGAGGAAGGTATCCTATTGTAAACCACAACTTTTTCGAGTCTGCAAAATATAATAAATACGAGACAAGAAAAATAGGGAACAAATAAATTTATTAATCAAACGAAAGCGGATTACAATCTCCGTGAATTCTCCTGATTCTTCTCTACTATTCTAGATTTTGATTCAAGGGCTTAAAAGCTTGTTCTTGAATCGAACATATGATTTCCTATCACGAACACCTCGAATTTAAATATGTTATGAATTCGAGGAATCGAACATATGATTTCCTATCACGAACACCTCGAATTCAAATATGTTATGAATTCGAGGCGGAGGCTCGAGACGTGAGCTTGAGAGCTCGATATGTGTCTGTGTGAGTCCGATTTTTAGATACACCAAAGATCTTCTTTTATAGGCACAAGCTAGAGTTAGGGTTTCTCCACTTGCAGAGTGGGCCAGACATTTTAAAGCCCAAATATGTTATGGACTTTAATTTGAGACCTAAATTAATAACCGATTTATTTTGGTTATTAATTAGTAATTTATCTCAAAATTTCGATGTCTACACCTATATCGATACAATATTTCTTAAAATTAGAGATTTTGTTTTAAAAAAATTAATATGCTCAAATTTGTAATATATATCAATAATAATAATAATAAACAAACACAAGTCACGAGCCAGCTCAAGAGCACTTGAACTATTACAAAGCGAACGCAATTTTTCATATTGCAATTTTTATCGTCATGTATTCAAATGAGTATATTTTTTCTTTTTAAATAAACTTACATAACTGTTTTTTCTTTTTTTTATGATATATATAATTTTATTTGTTGAAGAATTTATATTGAGTAGAAATGAAATTATAGACATCATAAATGATTATTTAAATTCTCACGTCCCAGCTAAATTAAAAGAGACTGATTGATGTAGTGTCTCTCTTACAGCTAATCTTCTGCTCTGCCTTTAAGTTTTTTTTTTTTTTTTTTTTTTTTTTTAACATTACATGCACAAGGCTAAAATAAATTAAAGTCAAATCTTGCTTTAATTATTATTGATTTTTATTTCTGTAGCCTTTAATTTGTTAATAAATTATTTAAAATAAAATAAAATAATAAACATAGTAAATACTAAATAACCATCCATTTAATTAGTTGAAAAGATAGCTAATGTTGAAGAAGAATTAAAATTCTGTTTAAATAGAAAATATATAGTAAACAAAATTCGAACTTCAATTTTGACCATAATATAATAATATACAAGTCTCGTTTGTACGTACCTCTGGAAAAGTTGTACCAGCTCTAGCAGTTTCGGTTAACGTCGGTGTACCTTCATAATATTTAGACTAAGCTTTCTATGGTGTGAATTGACTGTAATACCCCTGGATGACGTGATATTATTCTGGCAAAGAAAGATTCCATTGGCATCAAGTTGAGTTAATGTTGATTAGAAAAGAAATTACACTTTACACACACACAGCTGTGGATTCTGCAATGTGATAGTGGTCAACCAGGTGATATGTTTTCTGCAATCATTTTTCTTACTGCCAATCCTGTATTTTTACATTTACTATTTCCAGATTTTCCTTTTAATAAGGATTTTTATTTTTATTTTTTTGTCTTATTAATTCCAAATGTTAATATTTTTTCCAAGCTGAGATATATTCACATGATTAGGCTATGTTAATGTTTGAAATGTTTTTTTTCTTCTAATAAATAAAAGAAGGATCGGAGGATCGTTTTCGACTAATAAATTAGTTCGTCCAAAGTATATAAATTTTGTTCGTAGTGGATACGAGAGGACCAAGTATAACCAAACTCATTGGCTATGTTTGGTAAGCTTCTCGAATTCTTTTCATTATTTTCCCAAAATAAAATTATCTTTCCGAAATATTTTCAAAAACTTTCCCCAAAAAGAATTCAAATTTTTCTCTCTCCAACAGACATGATTTGACTGCTACAGTGAAAATTGTCTTCACTAAATTACAAACTAAAATCACTTTATCCTTCAAATTCTTCTTCCAAAATACATTTTTCCAACACCTTTTAGACATGATTTGACTTGCTACAGTACAAATTGTCACCTCTCAAAACACAAACAAACTTTATTTTATTTTCAAATTCTTTTCCCAAAACATCTTTCTCCAGAATAAAATGGAAATGAAAGCCCAAAAGCTTACCAAACATAGCCATTATGTTTGCATTTCAACTTCAAACGATTTACATATCGCTGATGATCATCGTTCATATGTATACCGATATAATTTTATTTCATTTTTTTTTATTTGTTATGAAATATTTAACTAGGTTAAGTAGTTCATTGTGTTGTTTTCGTCTTTTTTTTACATAATGTAGAGAATTGCGATAAATTCGAATGTTAGTATAGTAGTAAATGAATTAGATAGTGTTGGATAATTTCGTATATCAAAGGTTTTTTCAAACGAATGCGATAAAAAATATATCTCAAGATACAAACAAACAATAATACAATCGACAATCGTCACCCGTACCTCTCGCCTCTTGGATACTTACATGTAACAATTTTCAAACGTGTATAAACTCGTTCTATATAGCTGGTTTAACAAAATGTGAAAATAAACTCGGCAAAACTCATATTTTACACAATGTACAAACAAATATATATTTAAGAAACCTTAGAAAAAAAACGCAAACTCAGTCCAAAACACGGAAACGGAAAAAAAAACTTAATATTCCGACATTCGGGCATCGAGACCTAATTGCTTCCTCGTTTTACCGACAAATAAATCCTTTGGATTGATTCAAACCCGGTACGCGTCCAATTAAGGTTGTCCATGGATATTGAGCCGCTGCATCTCGTCTCCCCAACGAAACAATAACTTTGATCGTCTGCGGTTTATAACTCGCCATCTTCGTTTCTTTTTCTCCACTCATTAATACCTTCAAATTCTTTGCAGCCATTAGAGCATGCTTTTGTGCCAAGTACCCTTGCTTACTTTCCTGAAATATAAATTCATTTCAATTTCATTCACGTTTTATCGACGAAATAGTA